TCGATCGGATCGGGACTGTTGGGTCATCGATCGAACCAGATCAGGATTGCTCGGTCGTCGATAGGATTGACAGTGACTGTTGGGTCAATGAACGGACCGGACCACCGGTTCCATGTCCGGATCGGATCGCCGGGTAATTGACCGGACAAGATAGGGACCGTCGGGTTGTTAGCCGGACTAGACTAGAACTGACACCGGAGCGGGATCGTATCCAGGGCCGTCTTTTAGGAGGTGCAATAGGTGCTTCGCACCGGGGCCTACTCTAGTAGAGGGCCTCCAAAAATTGAGAGGGTAGTATTAGTTGAAGGTTGATTTTTCTAAGATGTCATGTATTATTCAAGATTCCAGAAGACATATAACCTTTAAATTCTCTAATCTATGCACTTTAAACATCATAAAATTTATATTTCATTGAATTGTCTAAACTATTGTGCTTCATTGTCAAAATTTGTATTTTTTCTTGTCTTAGGGACCTCAATTTGTCATTTGGAACCGGGGCCTCCAAATTCATTAGACGGCCTTGATCGTATCCACACTACAATAAAATTGATTTATAGAGGCATAACAAATTTGCCTCTAAAAATAGTAAATTAGCCTCTAACTAGTGTTGTACCTATGCCGGGAATATATATACAATTGATATGAAATTCAAATTAAAAATAAAGAAAATTTTGAAAACATTAAAGAGAAAATAATACTCCGTAAATAATATAATATCACCATTACACATATAATTAAAAAGCACAACCAATGCAGATTAATATTTGCATATACAGTATATGACAACAATATATATCCAAACTCAAGTACTCAACAATTTGTTATTTATAAATATATTTCACCTCCAAATATTATGGACGTTTTAAATTTTAATGCCAACGTGTCAATGATATATCCAATTTTGTGTTGAAATAACATCACTTGCAATTTTGTATTTAAATTGAAATGAAGATAGCATTGAAATTTGGTAGAATGTATAAACAGAAATTTACATTAATTTAGGGACAAATAATTAAAATACTCCACATTTTAAAGAGGTGTGTGAGGTAAACATCCTAAACTTGCATGTGCAATTTCAATATCTTGATCTTTATATAAAGATATAAAGAGTTATGTTAGTACTATGAACATCTTAAGCATATTTTTACCATAAATATATATATATATATATATATATATATATATATGATCATAATTTTTAAATTAATAATATGACCATGGTGCTAAATTAACTTTTTATGTCAAGTTTGAGGTATATATGGTACACTACAAAAAAACACGGATTGGCGGAGATTTTGGCACGGATTTGACACGGATTTTGGCAGGGATACGCCAAATTCGTGCCAAAAACACTTTGGCACGAGCTATTTGGCACCAAAAATTGATAAGTCCGTGTCAAATTCTGTGTCAATCCCGCCTTTTTTTGTAGTGGTATCTTAACCATTTATAGTACGGAGTAAGATATGGTAAATAACATATTTAACAATTTGTAGTAATACAATACACTAATACAGTTGGGATAGCAGGTAAAGTTAATAACTTAAAATTAAAAAAATAAAACAGCCAAACAATTTGTGTATAGATTTCGATATGTTGCTAAAGATCAAATACAATAACCAAACGTAAATACGAATCAAACTGAGAATGTTCAATATTCAAGTGCCTGCTTCCCCCTTTCTTTTGTGAACCATGCAAAACATTTAAAATCCCATCCCGAGGCTGGCTGGTTTTATATATGGCTAGGAAATGTCAATCTTGCTATTAGTCTTGAATCCAGAGAACATCTTCATTTTGACTCTAGCTTCCTGTAGAAAATATTTATGTACATCATGCACAACAGAAAATTAGACAAATCTTTAGGTTCCATCTCCATTTTCTAAACTTCCATTTTAGGCTAAAATTATCCTCAAATTAAATGGAAATATTCTCTTCTACCCTTTTCCAATATCATGTTCTCTTTTTGTTGGATTTCAATTTACTTTAGTGAAATATGGAGTAGAAATTAAGACGCCCTTCAGCTATTGGATTTTTACTGTTTGATCCAGTTCAACTTGCATTGCTTTCCATTAGTTTCCAATTACAAAACTAATTTTTCCTTCTTCCATTTATGAAATTGAGGATGTTTTCTTTTGGACTGAATTTTGCCGGTCTGGTCTGGTCTGTTAAATATCTGGTCTCTGTGTATTTTAAATGACATTTTAAATTTATGAGAAGGCAATATTATATAATTGCCACCCATGTTATGTATGTCAATCAATAATATAAATATCAAGGTCAATCACGGGGAAAGGATGAAACCTACCTGCCTAGACCTATTTTAGTCATGGAAACCTTTATGTGACATTACCGAGGCTCAAAATGGATGGATAATCTTGATAGATGATAAGGAGAAGAAATCAATAGACATTAGTCACATTACCACTAAAAGTGGTCTTTAAAGTAATTTTTCAAAACCATTAACAATTACGTTGAATATTTCTATGAATGGTGTCAATTGGGGCGGAGCCAGGAGACTGGGTCAAACTGGGCCGATACAAAGAATATTTTTAGAAAAAATTTTACACAGAATTTTTTAGGGGTTTGTCCTCAAATAATACTAATTAAAAGCATTTGGACAAAAAAAGTGACTTTTCTTTTAAGTTCCAAAAATAAGACTAAATAATACTTAAGGGACTATTACACCCTTACTAAGCCCAAACCCACTGGTCTGCTACAGTAACTCGTCACAGTTACCAAATGTGTAGTGACCAATGTTACAGTTACCAATGACATAGTTACAAAATTAATCCAGTGACCAAAAATAATTAGTGACCAAACATCCAAAATTCCTCAGTGACCAAAAATCATTAGTGACCAAACACCCGAAATTCACCAGTGACTAAAAATCATTGGTTCCGTCCCGTGACCAACCGACACAGTGACTTCCGTCCAGTGACCAACCGACACAGTGACTTTCGCCCAGTGACCAACCGACAGAGTGACTTTTGCCTAGCGACCACCACTAATCACAATTACTCACCCTGTCATTGACCACAGTGACTACCACCCACTTACAATGACCAACAATCGATTACAATGATCAACAATCGATACAATGACCATCGGCCTGGTCACCGTGACCACCACCCTAGAGCTACAGTGACTAATTTTCGATTAGTAACCACTCGGTCAATTACCCACCACCCAGTTACCCACCAGAGTCAATACAGTTCTATGCTATGGTTACATTGCCTAACTTCCAATCTATCTACACAACGACACTGCCGTCCACCACCTCAAGCCACCACCTGTCCCTGCTCCAACACCACCGGCGACAGCCCCACCAACCGAACCAGAACCCCCCTGCCCTTACCTAGCCCCTGCCCACTCCCTAGCCTCTCAAGCCCTCCCGGCCCCTGTCTCCGCCTGCACCTTCCTAGCCCCAGGCCGCCCTCCCCCAACCCCTGTCACATGCCAATGTCCCTGCGACCCACCACGATCTATCCCTTCTCCAATAACCTCTATGACAGTGAAATGTCATCTGATGTGGCATCTCACCAACATTGCGATCGGAAAATTGAAACTCTGTCACCATTGATTTGGATTCCCTCAACCGTAGCACATAGGTGGGGCTTAGATCTTTGTCGATGTTTGCTTAGGTTGGGAGGGTGGTTGTTTGCGGCAAAGAAGGCGACGAAAGAAATGAGAAGAAGAAGAAGAGAGGTTGAAGCGGCGGCGGTGATGACCAATAGGCACCGACAGCGAACAGGCGGTGATCAATAGGCGGCGACGGTGACGAAGCGACAGCAGCGATGCAGAATCAACAACAACAAAGAGTTTAAGCGGCGACGGCATTTGGTATGGGATACGGAAGAGGTGCAGAGAACATATCTGTAATATTCATTAGGGTTTTTGTTAAAACGGAGTAATTTATATGAGGGGTAGTTATGTCTCTTTACATCCAAATAGTCTCTTTTTTGTCTAAATTCGAAAGTAACCCCATTTTTGTCAAATGCTATCCTGGAAGTCTTACTTGCGTCATTATTTCAATTTTTTACCCTAAAAATTTAGACATTTTTAATTTGAACTGGGTCAGGGTGGGCCCACCCCTAGTTTCCGCCCATGGTGTCAAACAGTCAAATTATTTGACTTAATATTCTTTTACAGTTTTACTTGGTATTTATTGCATGGATTTATACTTTTTTATACTCATTGTCTCAATCATTGTACTCCTTTTTTGAAACGATATAAGAATATACGTAGTAAAAATATCCTAATTTTGTATTTAATCAGTTCATGAATAAAAATACATGTGCTCATTGCTTTTTCCCATGCGCATGTACGGGTAACGGGTGCCATATTAGTTATACTAGTACATGCTAAAACACAAACCATAAAGTCATTCATATTCAGTAGGAAGAAGTAAAAAAAACAACCTAAGGACACGTTTACTTCATTTCTTAGTAAACGGTGTTTAGTAAGCCTTGCCTTAGTAAGCCGTTGTTTAGTAAGGAGTGTTTAGTAAGCCATGTTTACTTCATCAAAAATTCAGGCCTGACTAAACAAAAAGGCCATTTAATTTCACTGGACTTCAAACATGTCTTACGTATAAAATGTCAAAAATAACCCCCAATCAGATAAACCTAGCCGATTGTATTGGATGACTATCTCCGGAAATTTCCAGCGCTTCTCGAAATTGACGATCAAGGCATATGCTTTCTTCTTCTTCCATTTTTTCCCAATCCGTCTCCATCTCCATTAAGGTACGTAATACTCTCTCCATTAAGAAGCTTTATTAAAGTAATATTTTCTTCTTACTCCAATGATTTTGACCATTCCAGTGACCTTGATTTCGTATACTATATGCATCATATTATCTTCTCCATTTCCAGTTTATATATATACTGGTCATAAAATAAGGGTATGATGGTCAATATAAAATGGCTTAAGTCGACAGTTAAATAAAACAGGGGTAGGGTGAATTGTTTAGCAAGCATTTATTTACCCAGCCTAAAATGTTTACTTCAAGCTTCTTAGTAAACTAACGGTGATTTAAACAGTCAAGTAAACAGGTCCTAAGTGTTTAAAGCAAAAATTAACATTCCAGTTAAATTACAACACTAAGAGAAAAAAAACATAATTCTTGCAAGTTCAAGATACACGAGCAAAAAGATTTCTCTAAGGCTGATTGCAACCCATAGTTGAATAAGTCAAATTCATTCTTTTCACCCCAAAGAAGTATTGCAACCCATGTATTGTTGGGTGCAAAAGTGGATGCATGGCACCAGTTGGGAAAATTTCGGTGGGTACATTGACCCACCATTTCCACTAGCCGCTGCACAAAAGGAGGAAGCCAACAGTTGGCAGCAGTGCGGGTCCCAAGAGTCAGCAGCATTTTGCAGGAGGTTTGCACGGTTCAAATTAGGCGGTGCCCTGGACTCGCTGGAATGCGCTTGGATTTCTTTTCTTCATACTTTTGGGCTGGCTTAAATTTAAAAAAAAAACATTTTTAGGTAGATCCAATATAGGAGTACATATTTTGAATGGAAACTCCAATTTATTTGAAATTAAGGTCATGTGTGCAAATTTTAATACCTTCCAAAAAAAATATTTTTTTACATCGAAATATTTGACTTTTTAATTCATAATGATTAGTAAAAAACAATTTGTCATATGATTGATGTGTGATAATAAAAGTAAGAATGTATACATTTCTTTTAAAAAAATGTGTTGGGTGAATATATTGACGGTGTTGGGTTGCAGAGAAAAACTGATTGACTGAGTGAATACGTATAAAAAGGTGGCGAATTTGATTTATTGACTCCAGCGGGTTGCGGACAGCCTAACAAGACATCACGTCTCACTGTCTCAGAAAAGGTCTTGTTATTGAAATGCTTCCCCAAAGTTCCAAGGACTTAGCAACGACTTATTGAACCCTGTAAAAAAAAATGAACGTTCGTAATATATCAATACCCTAAAGTGTCTAGAGAAAACCGTAGAAGCAGATTTTTTTTTTTTTTACAATTCTGCTATTAAAGCGTCAAACTTCAACAAGTTGAAGCAGCCGATCCAAAAGTTGTGTAAAAACGACCAAAAGTGAATGATCTTCCACATTTAAAAGTGGGAATAGTTAACAAGGCTCTAGTAGTTTATCATATAGTAGTACTACGTAACAGTTATAAACTATGTAGCACCGATACCGGTAGCGGAAACGCGGTATGGGGATACCGGATACGTCAAAACCAAAAAAAGTAGGATACGGATACGGGGCCATGTTTATAAATATCAAAAGTTATGGGGGTGTATTTACAAATATTAAAAGTTATAGGGGTCTATTTATAATTATTAAATATAGATTTTTTTTGAAAATATATACCAAGTATATCTTTATATATATAAAGAGAACATGGTGGAGATCCAAATATAAATCTATTTGGAGCCAAAAGAAGTGAAAAATTGTGGTCATGATTAATGAAACATTACTTAATGAAGCCATATTAAGTGCCAACCTAATTAATTGTTGTAAGTTATAAATAAAACTTTAGAAAATTGTTGTCACTATTAATGAAGCATTACTTAGTGAAGCCATATTAAGTGTCAACCTAATTAATTGTTGTAAGTTATAAATAAACCTCTAGAAAATTATATTGAGCATAAATACATTAAATATTAAAAAAATATTAGAAAAATATTAAAAGACACATATACATAATTAATTAAGAGACATAATCTAATAAAGTTAAAAATTCATTTATTGAATTCTACTATAACTATTCATTAGTAAACAAGTAACTATTTTAAACATTCGTTGAAATCACATTTTTAATAATGTTTCCTGATTTTGAAATGATTTTTAGCATTTCCAATTTTGTTTATGAGTCAAATTGGTTCAACGATATCGAATTATACAATTTTACTATTCAACTCGCGATTTTAACAACATTGATATATAGTTCTTATAAAAGATATAGTGATTTTAACAATCTTGATCTGTAGCTTTTATAAAACATATATTGAGATGAATGAAGAGATATTACGGAGTATAAAATAAATATTTATTTAGAAAATTTAAAACACAACAAGATAATAAAAAGTAATGTCATGTGTTGAATAATCATCATAATTATAACTAAATAATACTCCGTACTACATATGAGATCGTAATATGATAACAATTGTTATCATCTTCACTAGACAATATATATGTTAGGGATGAAAGAATACTTATTTGGTAGTTTTATACTAATTAGTGTATCTCTAAGAATTATCATACATGTATTCTAATATTATTCCATATCATGTTTTTATTTTTATGCAATAAGTATGTATATACACATTACTCATGAAATAAATTATTTGTAAAAATAAACTGATTTCATTTGTTCACCGTGCAACGCACGGGTGGATTGACTAGTATATATATATATAGATATATATATATATATATATATATATATATATATATATATATATATTACCCATTCATTGCATTGAAGCATTTTCCTTTTTCAAGATACTTAGTAATAAATTCATAATATTTCTCATATACACTAGTGCATCTCGAAATATAAATGTAGTCAATAAGTCATTAATTTAAAATGAGAAATAAGTCAAACAACTACAATCTTGAAATTAAAAGTGCAAGTACCCAATTCGGAGTATGAGTTAATGACTTAATTCGGATATAGCCAAATAGGCCCATTATTTGATTACCAAGTAAAATGTAGTTTTAGATTTTCATTTTTTTAGAATTTTATTAAGTAAATTTTGGGATTTAAAAAAAAAAGTTGATACGGGTAACCGTCAGGATAAGAGTATCAGAAACTTTCAAAAAAATTACAAAAAAAAATGGAAACTTTTAAAAATTGCAGATACGGCCCGGGAACATACGGTACGGGTATCCTAGAGTATCGGATACAAGAACGTATCTGATACGCCGATACGCTACCCTAGGAAAGTATCCGTGCTTCATAGGTTATAAAGATATAGGCTGGAAAACAAGAAACAATGGCCTCAATATTACTTGTGGACTTTGTGTAGACCAAAATATGAGTAAATCTGATGTTGACAAAAATGTGACCATTTTATTCTACGCGGTATCTCTTCTCAAAGCTGATCTTTTGACCGTTCCATTTCCCCAAAGCTGTGTCTCTTCTCTGCTTCGTATCTTCATACGCGGTACTCCATACATCGGGCTTTTCATCTTCAGCGCCTCACCAATCGCCTGAGCCGCCGGTCATCGGACCAGTGCCGCCGCCCGCCAAACGTATGTGCATCGCTGTCGACTCCAGTCGTCACTACATCGCCTCCGCCGTTAACTGCCAATCTGCTTCGATTGGATCTGCTTCAGGCGCGAACTGCCATCTTGTGGTTATGCTTCTGCGTAGGCGATTGCTAGCGGAGGCGGCTTAAAAATTGGGGTTTGGGATGGGGGCCTAAGGCTGTTGGCTATAGGTTGGACGGCGGGCAGGTTACGACGATGGTGGTGAGCTACAGATTGGGGCTAGGGTTGGGAGTGACGATTGGGAGCCCAGGCTGAATGGTGGCGATGTTGACCGACGGCGCTGGCTTTGCTGGTGGTGTTGACCGGCGGCAAGGTAAGGTCGGTGAATGGCAGCTAGTCTATTGGGGGTGCTACTGGTGGTTGTTGAAAGCTTAACGTCAATTGCGCAGTGGATGGGCTTGAGAGGGGGGGCTGGGGGGCTGCGAAGGGAGATCGATGATGTGGCGGTGATCAGAGTAAATTCCGGCAGGGAGCGTCACTGAAAAATCGGGCCTCATTGGGTGGCAGCGACGTCACTATGATGTGTCGTTGTGGCCAGCGGCGGTCTTTGGCCGGAGGTGTTTTCTGGTTGGCGACCGTCACTCATGGGAGGTGGTGATGGATGTCACTATGATGGATGTCACTATGTTCGTGTCATTGTACATGTCACGGTGGCAGTGGCGGTAGTGTCACTATGGTCAGCATCGGCAGTGACACGCGCGGTGGTGGCAGTGACACGCGCGACGGTGGTAGTGACACGTGTGGCGGAGGCAGTGACATGCGTGGAGGAGGCAGTGACATGCATGACGGAGACAGTGACACGGTGGCGGCAACAGTGACACGTGTGGCGGCAGCAGTGACATCCGACAGTGACATGAATACATCTTAGTCACATATTTGTCTAAATTTAAATGTGGTCACTTTTTCGAAAATTGGCTTTATTTTAGTAATATTCAAGAAAAAACCCCGGAAAACAATGCTCAAAACTACACAAAAGCATATATATACGATAGTATATTCTATATACCTACCGGTGGAAAGCAATCTGACTGCATAGATGGAACAACCTAAGCTTGAAAACTGCCAACAATTTCTCTAGTCTTACACGGAAATTAAAAATTTACACACCCGCTTAAACTACTTTAGCAGGAGAGGATCTATGCACGGGCTATTGTAGACTGAAGCTCAGGGCAACTTAGAAAATTTTCAATTTTTTTAGTGTAAATTTTTTCATTTTTCACGTTTAGCCCACCCCTCTAATATTTAAACATAGTATAATTTCTATTCAGGCTAGGGCATCTCAAATTCCTGGATCCGTGCTACTCTCTAAAGGCAAATGCGGACAACTGAAATTATTAAAATCTTCAATAAAAACACGTTGTTCGGATATGCTAATTCATTGACATATGCTATTATTTTATATTCATTGACAAAAAATAGGTCGAAACAATATAATTATATAGATAATAAATGTCTAGCACTCTACCAGTGACAAAAATGTTTTACACAAAGTAAAAAATTGTACATTTTTCGTATACATTTTCAAAATCCTTTGCGCAGACCATATTTGTTTTTCTAAAGTTAGAGAACAACAAACAAATATTGTTTATACAACTGAGGATGACATTTACAAAATTAAAATAAAGGGACTACATTTCGATATGCACAGTTGCACACTAAGGGATTATTGGAAGTGGGGCTTTGTCTTGTATATAATTGAAATAAAAATTTATACTAAATTTTATCAAGTATTTAGTTGTAAATAGTAATGGTCAAATATCAAGGGTAAATACCTAACAAGTTAAGGTGAGAACTTCATTGAGGGCAGGGGGTAATATTAAGCAATTGCTTACCTATGAATAGTGTATCTCTGCCATTGGTGATGGTCGGGGAAATCGTACTAGCTCTTTAAGTATCAGGAGTTGCTTTTCAGTACACACTTTGGTATTGGCTTTTATAATCATTTTCTTGAGCACCGGAGATTTGATTAAAAGAAGTTTTGCAAGCCTCAATTGGTTCTTAGCACCTGCAAATTCTCTCAGCATTACCATCCTCAGCTTATCCAGTTTCACGTCTGAATATTCTTCAATATCGAGAGAATGGAGGGAAGGACTTTGGGAAGAAACGGCATCATGAGAATCGTCTAGCTAAATGAAGCAAAAAAAACTCTGAATATCATAGTAGAACTTGCATGATAGAGACAGTAATAAAAGAAATAATTATTACTCACATAAATGGTGATATCTTGCAAGTTAGGCGCTATTCTAAGCAGAAAAAGTACAAATGCCATTCCCACAGTGTCTTCTAAACAAAAGCTACAAAGTTTAACAGCATTAAGGTGGACAGCAGTCAAACATGGCGTTGCTGGGACTCCACCAGAAGCTATACACTAAACATTACACCCAGATAAAAAATGATGTTAGCCTCCAGATATAAAACAATCAAGTTAACACAATATCAATGAGATCATAGATATTTTCAGACCTTTGTGAATTTATGATCAAAACATAAAAACCTTAGATCAGGCAGAGAACTGAAGAGCTCTACAACTTTAGAGTATCCTGATATTGAATGTTGTCCAATCTTCGTACAATCTACAACCCATACATCTTTGAGGACTGGGCTGTTTTTGAAACAAATATCTTTTATACGGCTAAAGAACTTAAAGCATTTGAGGTTAGGAGCATGAATCTCAAGAGATTCATATGTATATGTGGAAGAAATTCTGAGCCATAAATGTTCAAGTAGCGGGCAAGAAGAAACAAGACTTGCAAGTTGTTCTGAACCAATGCTTACCAAATCCATTTTAATAGCAAGAAGTTGGTTAAATCCTGTGAAATTGGAAGGCAGATGAACCCGATAGGAATAAAGTGAAACGTGTTTCAGATTTTTACATTTGAAAAACGATGAAGGCAATAGACATTGGCCAGCCTGAATTTTAAGTGTGAGGCCCTCAACATCACTTTTTGACAGAATAAGGAGTAAGTTGTCAATTTCAGGGCAATCTTTCAGTTTGGACAATGCAATTGTGACCTCTGTAATAGGACCTTCATGGTTCAGCACAATATGGAAGATACGCCTGACACATGTTAGGAATGCTGAATCCTTACTCACACTTGTTTTTGGCCAAAGTGTCTCATCAAGTTTAATGTGTGAAAGCTTGGTCCATGTATATTTCCAATTACTTGAGAGCACACTTGTCCTTACAGCTTCTAGATGGGGCAAGTGCGTTAAAATGGCCATCCTTAAACATTCAGGGAGGTTGCTAATGATATCATGATGGTAGTTCTTATCGATCAACATTCTCTGAAATTGTGGAATATACTTCTTTTAGTAACACACACATATATGGGGAGGTTCAAATAAAGTGTGTTTACCATGAGAAATGTGAAATGCAAACATTACACTTTTTTGCGGTTGCAAACGAGTTCCTCTAATTATGAAATTGCCAACATATTTTGAAGCAATTTGGGTCATAACAGTATAGAGATATTACTGTTTACTAGCATTGTAAAGACATCACATTAGGAAAGAAAGCATTAATCATATAACGGAAAACATGATTTGTTTTTGTCATATCCCGGGTAACGTTCTCCAGACTATTCATGACTTTCACATAAAATAAGCTCAACGTGTTCAAGGTGCAGTAACAAGACAACACAAATTGAATACACAAAGCTGATATCTAATAATACCTTTGTGACATCAGACACTGCCCACTTTAAATTAGGTGAGAGACAAGAAATTAATAATCATGTAGTTAAGGTTTTACATAGGAAAAGTAAAAAAAAATTGGGATAATAAAAAATGGAAGGTTGTCAAAGTACAGAGGGAGGAAGCTATCAAAACTAAAGAGGTAACAAACTAACAAAAAAAACACTTTTTCTAAAAGTTCTGAAGTTTATATTTTTTCAAATACTCCGCATTATCACTATTATCGTTGTTGTTTGAAAAGGAAAAAAGTTTCGATTTTAATAAACTCAGACCAAGACCAGTAATCGAACTGGAAAATTCTGCAAAGCATGTGTCTTTTGAGTGCCACAAATAGGCTTCGACGGAGTGAAAATAAACACTACAAAACGCTAATAGTCGTTTCTAAGTATAAGAACTTCATATTCATAAGCGGAGATCGAATAAAACAAGCAATGTCAAGAAGTAGAGCAGCAACGTACTAACCTTGGTATCGAAATTTAGGCTCTGCAGAAACCGCCAAACGGTCAATTAAAAGTTAATAAAGATAGCTTTTTGGAAGTAATTTTGTTTTTTGGTTAAAAAAACCTTAAACGTGACGGTTGCTGGGCTGGTTCTAATTTTAACCACTTTGAATTATTGATATTCCTGAGGGGAAAAGCTGGAAGGAAGAAGCATCGTGTTTGAACTTTGAACTTGAGTAGGAATAAATTGTGGTAACTCTTTAACTATGGGCTTTGACATCAAAGAGGTAAGAGAGATAGTGGAACCAGACTTGGCAACTTCAGGTCAACAAAATCCAATCCGCACAGAAAGTAAAGTCTTCTATTTTCAACTTCACTCTTTGATGTTAAAAATGAGCCAAATTTCTTTCGTTTTACCTTTTTCGTTCGTTCCATTAAATTTGTCTCATACCATATTCGGTTATATTTGGATGGTTACAATTCGTTCTTACTTATTCACATTTTATCAATTCAATACCAACCACACAATTTTACTTTTTCTTAAAAATCACACCACACTCCTTTGTCAAAAACTTAGGGGGACAAAGGTTGTATGTCGCTTACCTCTGCCCTGCTACGATTTGTTCTCTTCGACAGACTTTCACCTCCATAACAGTGTGATCGCTTCTCGGAAGCTTAATCTGGCTCGGTGTTCTTCGGATTTTATTTCTTTGATGGATTTCGACCTTGTTGTTGCTCGCCGGCATGAATCAGGTGGATTTGATGGTCAATTTTCATACGTATCCCTTCGAATTCAACCAAAAATTAAAATAGACAAACTGGCAGACCAATTAGCTTAAATCCTTGTGTAAGGTGTTTTACAATTCTATCTATCAGTGTTCTAAAAGGCGTGAAGCATGGCAAGACGTTGAGGCCAATTCTAGGCATGAAAAGGTGTTTTAGATTTTTATTGATAATTATTATTATTATATAGTGATATATGAAGAAGAAAATAAATGTCCAAAATATATTATACAAGATTGAGCCTAATTTTCACTTTGTTAAATATATATCATTTTTAAATGTATAAAAAGTGAATATAAAAATCATATGTTATTGTGTTTTACGGTATTGGAATTCATACATAACATGTTTATAAAAGCATTTTATTTTTAAATTTAATTAGTTTTTTCTTTACAAAAAAATATTTCATCTAAAACACTTCCGCCTTTTCACGCCTAAACACGCCTAGGCTTACGCCTTCTCACACCTTTGGTGGTCAACTATTGAGTTGACCGCCTTTTCCACGCCTTTCTATACTGCGAGGCGTTTCTCCACTGCCTCACGCCTAGGCCTCACCTTTTAGAACACTGTTATCCATACATGGATAGAGTAATAGAGGGTTGGAAGTTCCATACGTGTTTTAATTTTCTCATTTATTTTTAAAAATTTAAATTCATTAATATAATTTTTTAAATTTAATATTACAGTTCTCCATCTTTTTTTACTACGAGTTTTTCGTTGTTTAAATTCAAATTTTGTTCTGAATTTTGTCTATGAATTATCATCGTTTTGAATTCTTAATGAATATTCTAATTTTTCGTTTTAAAAATATAAAATTGTGTACAAACAATTTGTATTAGTTGCTTGAGAAATGAGTATCTAGCTATGTAGCACCGATAAGGGTACAGGGATACGACAAAACAAAACAAAAAATGTAGGATACGGATGCAGGGTCATAATTATAAATATTAAAAGTTATGGGGTGTATTTATAAATATTAAAAGTTATAGGGGTGTATTTATAAATATTAAAAATACACTTTTTTAAAAAAAATACATATATTATCCTTTAATGTCTACTCATTCATGCATTGAAACATTTTACATTTTCAAGATATTTAGAAATGAATCCTTATTTTATCTCATATACTCCGGTGCATCTTAAAATATAAATATTCTCAATAAGTCATTAATTTAAAATGAGAAAAAAGTAAAACAACTACAATTTGGAAATTATAAGTGAAAGTATACAATGTTCTAGAATAATGAAGATAGAAAACAATAGTTTAAAAGTTCTAATACATATTTCCGTTGGATCAATTAAATTCCAGGGATAATTAGAATTAGGGATATGTGGATGAGTGAATTAGGAATAAGCCCATGAGTTGTGTACTACATAGAAGCAAGATAAAACTTATTTTTAGCTTTTCATTTATTAAGAATTTTATTATGTAAATTTTGGATGTTTTTAAAAAAAAATTGGAAGATTTTTATTTAAAAAAAAATTGATATGTGTATCCATCAGTATACGAGTATTCAAAATTTTAAAATAATTACCAAAAAATAGAAACTTTTAAAAATTGCAGATACGGCCCGGGAACGTATAATACGGGTATCCTAGAGTATTGGGTATGAAAACATTTCCGATACGTCAATATGGTACCCTAGTGAAGTATATGTGCTTCATACGTATCTAGACATTGTAGTGATTTAAATAGTACGTACATGTGTCAGGACTCAGGAGAACTTCATACGAACGGATGGTTGGTTTATTTTAAATTTCCAATATTTTAATTTACTTTTAATCTAGAATACAAATTCAAGCTTATCGCCAGGGGTGGAGACAGGGAGGGGCTGGAGGTGGCCACTGTTAAGATCCAGGGTCCATCCTAAAAGGTCAACCTGTTAGAAGGAGTAGCTCGAAACTTAATATAGCACTTTAATGCTTCTCAATTTTCCGGTGTGGGACATTTAACACCCCTCTTCACGACCAGACACTTTGTCTGGATCGTGTCGTCATTCATTTTTCATCGGTTCGTCAATTTTTTTTTTATCGCGTCGTCATTTTTCATAAGGGACCCCACACCATGGATCGATTTGGCTCTGATACCATGTTAAGATCCAGGGTCCATCCTAAAAGGTCAACCTGTTAGAAGGAGTAGCTCGAAACTTAATATAGCACTTTAATGCTTCTCAATTTTCCGGTGTGGGACATTTAACAGCCACGGCCCCTGCAAGAAAAAAATTTCTTAAGTATATATTATGTATAAATACTTTTAATCTGTAAAAAGTATGTTGATATTTTAAACTTTGGCCCCTGCAATGTAAAATTGTTAAGGACCGGCCCCTTTAACCCTAAATGTCTGGCTCCGCCACTGCTTATCGCCACATTCTTGAATTGCCAACCTATCTATTTTTGAAAAAATCACAATTTGTTGGATTTACATTATTCACAAGTGTATGTCCCGTAATCCCGTTCTCAATTGTCATGACATTTTTTTTTGGAGAAAAGAGGCTTAATTAACATTAGTCAAATCGTTGGCCAGAGCCGATACAATAAATGAAGGAGGAATAAAGAACCAAAACCGCGTGTCAGGCAAAGAACAAGCCGCTCTTGCCAAGGCATGGGCAATCTTATTCGCTGACCGCTTAATATGACAAAATGAAATACTCGAAAAAGAATCCGGTAAATCTCTTATGACGTCACTTAATAATCCCATCATGGAACAACTGGATCCATTCAAAATCTCGGCCACAACTCTAGATGCATCGGTCTCTACCTCAACAAATGTCCACCTCTGCTGTTTTAGCCAACTTAGTGCCTCACGGATCCCAACCAGTTCGGCCGCCAATGGTGTTAAATTCCCAGGCCATGGATGAGCAGCCCCAACAACAAAATTGCCGCTGTCGTCCCGGAGACACCAACCCAGCCCGCATCCTTTTGCCCGAACTGCTGCGTCTACATTTAATTTCAACATTCCGTGGGCTGGTTTGCGCCAAGATAAGCTCCCGTGTTGTGCTTGCTATTGCCTTGTGCTACGAGGATGTTGAGCATGCTTCCAGCCATCCACCAGAGCTTGGGCACGAAGAATAAGTTGTCTGGCCGATGAAGACAGCCCTTGCCAGACCTGATGATTTCGTTCGCACCAAATAGCCCAGCAGCCCCAGACCAGCACCTCCAAAGCTACCTTCCTTTTTGACTGGAACTCCTTGTTGATTTGCTCCAGAAAAGGGAATGGCGCTCCACTGCCAAGAGAGAATTTCCCAGACCTCTTTAGCCACAACACAAAACCTAAAGATATGCTCCAATTATTCTGGATGAGCTCCACACATGCCACAATGTCCAGAACAGTCCACCCGTCGTCCCTGCAAGTTTAATCTCGATGGAAGACACCCGCTACAAACTTGCCAAAAAAATATTTTAATTTTAGGTGGAAGTTTTAAATCCCACATAGCAGTCCACTCTAGTCCCTGAGCCCCTCCCAACTCGCCAACCAAACTCCGATAGCAACTACGAACGGAGAAATGCCCACTCTCTTCCCATTTCCAACACAAGGAATCTGGAATTTGGCTTCTTCTAAGCGGTATTCCGCGAATTAAAGCTGCATCTCGGGCTCCAAAAATGTCATTTATAAGGTCCATATCCCAAGCATTATGATTAGTTTCATAAAGATTAGCCACCACAGCCCCCTTCAACCCCTCCGCCACCTCCGTTATAACTTTCGGATCCTCTCTATCCGGAAGCCAAGGTTCCTCCCAAATATTGATTGAATGTCCATCCCCCACCCTCCAGTAATAACCCTCCCGAATAATATCCTGAGTGTGAATCAAACTCCGCCAGATAAAAGAAGGATTATTTCTTGGCTTGGCATTTAAAAAGTTCCCCTAAGGAAAATATTTGGCTTTTAGAACCCTGCTCACAAGAGAATTGGGATTCGTGAAAATTCTCCAAGCTTGTTTAGATAGCATGGCTAAATTAAAATCCCGTAGTCTCCTGAAACCCATACCTCCAGCTTTTTTTGGCAAGCATAATGAAGCCCAATCTTTCCAATGAATTCCCCTGCCTGCCTTCCCCTTCCATCAGTAACTGTTCATAATCACTTCAATCTCGCGGCATAGCTCAATTGGCAATAAGAAAACGTTCATGGCATAGGTCGGCATGGCCTGAATAACAGACTTCAACAAAATTTCCCTACCCGCCTTTGATAAAAATTTATTATTCCAATTATTAATACGGTTCACCACCCGCTGTCTAAGGTAACCCAAAATATTTTTTCTACTCCTCCCCACCAATGCTGGTAAGCCCAAATATTTTTCCTCCTGACCCGCTGAGCCAACACCCAACAACTCAACCAGCCCAAATTGTCATGACATTTTAAACTTATGAGAAGACAATATTCTATAATTGTCATATTTTTCATAGTCAATATATCATGGGAAAAGATGAAACCTACCTAGGGGTGGCCCGGTTCCGGTCTGACCGGCCCAAGAATCGGACCGGACCACCACTGTGCGGGACCAGACCA